AAATTTCTCTTTTTTTAGCTTTTTATTTTGTATTGGGATATAGCCAGTTAACAAACAATGTTCTGATAGTTTCAGGTGATCATTTCCCTAAATTTCTTATTTAGCATTCATTATTCAGAGCTCTTCTTAGGCCCTAATTGTCCTTTTGGTTTGTAGCATTTATGCAATGCGATGTGCCTATATAAAAGGCATATTAGAATATAACTTTCCCCTTTTGGTCTCTGTAATTTTTTCTTCCCTTCCTCCAAGATCCTTTTCTCTGTTTCTTTATGTGATTTTTTTCTTTTATCCTAGAGGATTTCCTTAAATGCCTAGAAATGCTTTTGTTGTCTGTTCACCTTAAGAATGAAGCTGATTAGAAGTTTGTGTGCTTAGAAGGGGTTTTATTGATTGGTGGACTTAACTAGAGGGTAATAAGGTAGCAGGTCAGGTTTTCCATTGAAGACCCCCCAAATGTCAGTATCAGCAGGTCTTTTTTCTTTTTTTTTTTTTGGATATTCAGTTTCCTCCAGAAAGTTGTCTCCAGTCTTTCTGTCTACTTCTTGGGATGGAAGCTCCCTGGACTGGTAGGGTTCTGAATGCTGAAGAGGTAAGGACTGTTGGTTTCGTTGTTTACTTTGAAGAATTGCAGTTCAGTGTCTTTCAACCTTTCTTAGTGTTAAAACTGTCCCAGACAGTAAATGTACTGGTTTCAGCTGGAGTGGAGGTGTTATAGGAATCTGGCTGTACAGGTGAAAAGAGGGAATCTAGGGAACTGCCTTTGTGTTATTTTCAGATAATGCTCTTGTCTCCAGCCTGACCCTCACCTGTATCTTTGAGTACATCTAGTTCTGCCAAACCTTTGGTGGTGGTGGTGGTGGTGGGGGGTGGGGGGGGGGTGGGGGGTGGGGGGGGATGCTGTTGTGAGAAATGAATTGCTTCATCTCGGCTCACCTCCTACCTTCTGATTTCCTAGTCTACTAAGGTCCTGCTCATCGAAAGCAATGTCAGTCTTTCCTTCTTCCGGGCCTCCCTTATCTTTCTTCGTGATATTCTTAGAATCACTTTCCCTCATCCCTTGTTTTTGGGGGAGTAAATCACCCTCTTCTCTCCTAAAGGGAAGGGGATGGGGAAAGGCTCTTATCACAAATATGAGACACAAAAGCCAGCGATTCCTGATCTTCTTTCCCCTCCTTCTAAAGACACTATGATGTGGGGAATAGAGGGGATGGTAGAGGTGCATGATATTTGCAATAGGGCTGGTTATTCTCATGATTTAACACAGGGGCAAGAGCCTGACCCCAGTTATTGGTGGCTTATTGGTGGTTCTTTTTAGCAATTTGGGGGTACTTAGCACTTCTACCCATCAATTTTGAGCCTTAATTACAATTCCAGGACAAGAGGGTAAAATTGCATATAATGACCTATTGTATAAGTGGATCCAAATGTACTTCAAATTCCCCATTGTTGGACATTTAGGTTCTTTGCACTTTAAAAAGAATTTATGTCTTTATTTTTGGTTGGGATAGGTCTGCCTTACTGTGTGTGGGCTTTCTTTAGTTGTGATGAGTGGAGGCTACTCTTTGTGGTGTCAGGCTTCTCACTTTGATGGCTTCTCCTGTTGTGGAGCAAAGGCTCTGGGCTCAGGGGCTTTGGTAGTTGCAGCACATGGGTTCAGTAGTTTTGGCTCCTGGGCTCTAGAGTGCAGGCTCAGTAGCTGTGATGCATGGGCTTAGCTGCTCCCCGGCATGTGGAATCTTTCTGGACCAAGGATCCAGCTCATGTCCCCTGTGTTGGTAGGTGGACTGTTATCCACTGTACCACCAGGGAAGCCCTCTTTTATACTTTTTGTGATACTAGCAGTGTCACAGTGAACATCCTTACAGTCATTAACAGTTATTATTTACACATGAGATTCCTATGAGTGGAATAGTGGGGTGATAACGATATGCATGTTTTTAATGCTTTTATTACATATTATCTGGTTGCCTTGAACTCTTGTACCAATTTTACATTCTATGGTACATGAGAAGGTTCTTTTTCCCCTTATATATGCTTGTTCCAGCTATTTTATCTTTTTCCTTATCTCTGCCAGTTTGGATAAAAGAATGGTCTCTCATAATTTTACATTGCATTTTTATCACTAGTAAGAAAGAACCACTTTACATATGTGTTTTGCCCACTGAGCTATTTTTTTTAATGCCATTTGCCTGTTCAGGTCCTTTGACAGTTTTTCTATTGGAGTATTCAATTTTTTATATGTTAGAGCTTTTAATATATTGAAAATATTAAATGTATGCCATAAATGTTGTCACTGTGTTTCCCAGTTTGATGTGCCTATGTATTTTATTTATAATACTTTCCATTATACAAAAAATTTAAAATTTTATGTATTCAGATCTTAGATAAAATGACCTATTTCTCTGAGTTTCATTTTTCTCTTTAATAAAAATGTGATAATAATACATACTACATGGCAAGTGGGGATGGTATAGGTAAACTCATTGCTGCATTATAGATGTTCAACAAATGATAGCTTTTTTTATTCCATGTGTGCACATTGAAAATGTTCAGAATCATCCAAATTTTTTACTAGAATTAAAAAACATACTCAGGATGTTTAAACCAGATATCTATGAACATGAATGTTAAGTAAAACTATCTTTTAGGCTGGTAGAGACAGGTAAACTTTAATTTCTCTTGTTACTTGTCTAATTTTTATTCTTAAAAAAATTGATGAGCTCTGACTGATGCATCCTCTTAAGTAAGAAAATCTGAAGTCTGAATGGAAGGTGAGAAGACTAGTGTTTTCTTGTAAGTTATTGTTAAGGAATTATGAATATATTCATTTCTGATAATGACTTCTTTCATTGCATGTTTACTTATTATCAATATAGATACATTTGATAAAACCAAAACCACACACTAGCTCATCCTGCTGTTAAACGATATGAAGATAAGGTTTCTATCATCCAGTAAGTCAGAACTTATTCCCCGAGGTCAAGTGCAAGTTGGCCTTAGGTGGATAGCAGTCTGTTCAGTTGCGAGCTTATATAAACTGCTTTTATAAATGTTATTTTTAGACTAATTTATAACAATAAAAATTTTTATTTTAGGTGTTATAACTTCTGAGCAATCTTTTATGATAATATAATGGATTTCTTATACAATGCTGTTATAATAAAAATAATTTTGTCATTTCACATATACTTTTACTATAAATAAAATCACTTACAGTAATTTCATAGATGTGGCCTAACTAAAGTCTAGTGAGCCATATTTTAATATTATAGTATATTCGAGCATAGAATAAAAAAAAATCACCACTGAGGAAGTTTATAAGAAATTGTTTACCAAGTATGCTTTTAGGAACATAACTATCTTCCATTTTGGTTATTTTTCCAAATTCATTTTTCCCTCTTTATTGGGTAACATGCCTAACATAAGGACAGGGTAACTTTCTGAAAGCCAGCAGATGTCCTGGGTTGTCGACATTGCTCTCTTCTTTATATAATCCTGTAAAATGTCTCCCTTCTCCATCAGTTGTGTGTGTATACGCCACTATTGCAAGGTGGAGATGATTCCAAATGAATCCCTGTGAATGATGTTGGCAAAGCCATCTAAACATACATGTGCTTGATGTGGGCACTGACATTTATGTTGGTTTGTAGGATTTCTTTGTACCTTCAAAATTATTCTCTCTATAATCACTCTTTCTGTAGTGTCATTGTATTCCTTAATACAGCTCTATTCAATCATCATACAAGGCTTTATATAAGTCAAATAGCATTCCCCTGCAAAGCTAACCATTGCAAATGATATTTTAAAGATCCTTGAGGTGGAGTGGTTACTACTTGAAATGTGACAGTTCCAAACTCTTCATAGTGACTGTGCACTTTGTTGTATTTTAAAGACATTTACTGTAGAACATTTGAAGAATTAGGTGCTTGTGTGTTAAATGCCTGCCACCTGACATTATCTCAAGGAAGAAATTATTTTGGTTTAGTTTAAACTTAATGTAAAGAAAAAATAATTTATGAGTCTTCAATAAGACTTTATTAAGACAGATTCCAGAACTGAGTTTAATTGCTTCCACACCTAGATAAGAGTGATTTGTGTGTCAAAATTAAGCATATTGGCAGGTCATCCTGTGTAAATTTGTACATAGAGTTGAAGTAAACTTATATTTTCACTTGAAGTTTTTTTAACAGCATTTATTTCTTCTGCCAGTTATTTTAGTTTATTGACTGTTAATTTATCAACCCTTCTTTTAAAAAAAAGTGAGAGGAAAAAAGGCCATAGTATTATCACATTTGTATATGTGGGTTTCCTAAACCATATGGTGATTTCTAATTAGAATACAAAGGATTCTTTGAGGAGACTAACTTCATAGTATCTGCAATGGTGGGCATCACAGAAGAAGAGAGTTTTCTTGGCTTTCCAACAAGGACATTTTTGAGAGAAACTGTGTGGTCTGTAATTGTCCTTGTATTCGAAGTCTGATAAAGTTATTGATGTGCAGATCAAGTTGGTATTTTGAAGCAGGTAATTTAATTCTGGATGTTTGATCCTCTCAGTCAGTGGTTTGACTTGATTTTTTAAAAAGGCAGCTTCAATATTTAATTTCACATGTACCCTCTCAGTAGAGATTTCAAAGGATACTTTGCTGGATCCTTGACTGCCTTGTCTATTTGTTCTTGTTTTGCATGCGAGAGAGAGCCAGAAGTCTTTCTTCTCATTGTGTACACATAGTATTAATGGATTTACTCTGCCTGTATCGTCTCATTACTGGAAACAGCCAGAAGCACAGAAGTCTTTCAGTGTATGCAAATAAGGCAGAATCATCTACCTGAGAGTTAATATTCTCTGCTTTTAAGTGTATTCTAAATCTAATGTTTGTATTTAGAGCATAACATCCTGTTCTTTTTTTTATAGGCAAAAAGCTAAGCAGGCTCAGGCAGCTGTTTGATGTTGGCTTCAAGTGTTATTAATTTCATATTCTATTATTCTTTTCACTGTAGCACAAGTGAAGCTGATGTGGAGGCTGTCATGGATAAGTTGTTTGATGAGCTGGCTCAGAAACAAAATGATTGTACGTAAGTTAATTTCTCTTGAAAGAGAATACATTTAGAACACAATGCCCAATCTCCACTGACCAATTAATAAGTTCCATTGCTGTATATGGGTTGATGCCACGCTCAAGTGGCAGTCATTGTATCAGCATTTTGTCTAATTTATGTGTTGAATCATGTGCTATTATTCATCAAGCTATGCATTTCCTATCTGTAAGAGATGAATTTTATAGTAATTATCCAGACAAGATTGAGTCTTTGTTCATGTTCCCATAGTAACTAGACCAAGGATTCTAAAAGTGCAAGGCAGAGAGCTGCGGCTGAATAAAGCCTGTGGAACCGTTGCCGACTGCACATTTGAAGAGCTGTGTGAGAGAGTGAGTATCCAGACACGTTCAGACTCAGTGGCCTTTTCACATGTTAAAATACTTCATATTTTCCTCTGTGCCTGTTTCAAATTTTAAAATGCAATTTACCAAGTCAGAACTGGTTTATTAGTCTCATTAAGAGAAATACTCATCTGTTTATGCCTATGTGCTTTTTATAGATATTGGCACAAAATTTACACTTAGAAGGGCTCTAACACAAAATTAGAAATACAGAGAGTGCTGTCAACTATTGCTGGAAGCAAAACCAAGATGGGCTTTAGGCATATTGTGTAAAAGTCAAACGTAAGAAAAATTTTTTTTAAAGAAGAGGTGAGGTTAGTATGTGGGGAAAGGAAGATGATGTGATACTACCATGATCCAGGGAGTATGATGTAAAAGAGTTTCCATTCCTTGTTCTCATGGATCCTCTGTTATTGTTATAATATCTGACCTATTTGGGTCAGGTTAAGGAAAGTGAATTTTTAATAGCTGTGACATCTGTATTATATAACAGTATGTCCAACAGAGAAAAAATTATATACACACATCTTCCTATAAATGAGAGAGACATTGATTACAGATTAATTATAGATATGAATTCTTTCTTTTAAAAGCTCTGGGAATTCTCAGTACTCAATGAGTATTCAGTTGACTATAAATCTTAAGAAAAACAAAGTCAATTAAATATAACTTTAAGCATAATACCTCATTGTCATGTATAATTTATCATTCCAACTGGTCTCTCTGATTTATCTTGACTTTTAGGTAGCTAAAGAGGAATTATTTTTTAGGGAGAAGAGAAAATATTTTTTATATTTGCTAGCCATTTTATGACTACTTTTCTTAAAAACTAGTAACTTCATTACTTCTAAATTTGTAATTTTCAACCCAGAGAGATGAATCCAATCTATAGATGTTATCATAGTAATAAAACACTTCAAGACCGATAATGACTAGGATGAATTAGAATCCTCGGACAGGTTGATAATGTCAGTGTCTGGTTATGAAAGTCATTCTGGGTGATATGGATCCTTCATACTTCTATTGGATTAATCTCATCAAGGTCCTAATAACCTAATATCTTTAGGCATAATTTTATTAGGGCTTCCATTTAAGTTTTACTTACTTTGCTCGAGAAATAAACTTGAGAAAAATCATATATATCTGAGAAGCTTATCCTACTTCCATAGAAGGGGACCTAGTGAAGAAAGGGAAGGACAGATCAATTGTGTCTTGGGGTAGTAGGGTAAAGGTAGGTCCCTTAGAGCAACTACTGAGTTTTTATCTCTTTTTTTCCTATGTGCTCATTATTTCAGAATACTTAGTACCAGGAAAAAGTCATTAATCAGAGACTAAAATCTTCATAGTCTACTGTATGGGGGTTGTGAGGAAGAAGAGTGATTGGAACATTACCTTGAAAAATTAAGATGCATAAAAATAATTATTTTTATCTTATTTGACAAAAATATGGATTATAATAGCAACTAAGAGCTAAATTCCTAAAATAAACAATGAACAAAGTACTATTTATTTTTTGGCATACCTTTCTTGACAAAATTTTAGGATGATAAAGTAATATATCTATGTTTCATAATTTGGTTGTTTGAGTACGTGGAAAGCCCTGTTTTAATTCATGAATATTTCAGTTACTTTCTTTTAAAGTTCTTATGGTGTCATTGTCCTTGTTGAGTTTTTTCTTCTTCAAGTTAGCTAGATCTTCATTTGTCAGTGACTTAGCTTGAATATGTTTGCTTTATATCTGTGTTGTAATTGTGGGATACTTACTGCATCAGACTGGATGACTGACATTGAATATTGACATGATAGGTTGGATTAAGCTAGTATTAAGCTGTGATGCAAGTTTAGGAAGGATTATATTTTTTTAAAATTGAAGTATAACTGACCTACTAACGTATTAGTTTCCAGTGTGCAACATAGTGGTTTCAATATTTTTATACATTGCAAAATGATCACCACAGTAAGTCTAGTTAACACCTATTACCTTATATAGCTAAAAAAATTTTTTTTCTTGTGATGAGAATTTTTAAGATCTACTAGCAACTTTCAAATATGCAATATAATATTATTAATTATAATTCTCATGCTATACATTATATCCCTATGACTTATTTATTTTATAACTGAAAGTTTGTACCTTTTGACCTCTTTCACCCATTTCTCCCACTTCCCAAGCCCCATCCCTCACACCACCAATCTGCTGTCTGTAGGTATAAGCTTGTTTTCTTGTTTTGTTTTTGTATTTTTAGATTCCACATAAAAGTGAGATCATGCAGTATTTGTCTTTCTCTCTCTGACTTACTTCATTTAGCATAATGCCCTCAAGGTCAATCCATGTTGTTGCAAATGGCAAGATTCCATTCTTTTTTATGGCCGAATAATATTTCAGTATGTAGGTATACCACTTTTCTTTCATTCATTGACTGGCACTTAGATTCTTTCCATGTCTAGACTATTGTAAATAATGCTGCAGTGATTATGTGGTGCATATTATAATTTCAAGTTTCAAGTCTTTATTTTCTTCAGATAAATGCTGAGAAGTAGAATTGCTGGATCATGTGGTAGTTCTATTTTTAATTTTTCGAGGAACCTCCATAATGTTTTCAATAGTGTTTGCACCAATTTACATTCCCACTAATAGTGTTCAAGGGTTCCTTTTTCTCTACATCCTCACCATCACTTACATCTTGTCTTTTTTATGCTAGCCATTCCAGCTGATATAAGGTGATATCTCACTGTGGATTTGAATTTCCCTGAGGATTAGTGACATTACACATCTCATGTATCTGATGGCCATCTATATTTTCTTTGGAAAAATATCTGTTTAGATCATCTGCCCATTTTAAAATTGGATTTTATTTATTAATTTATTTTTTGCTATTGGATGAGTTCTTCATATATTTTGGATATTAACCCCTTATCAGATGTATGATTTGCAAATTTTCTTCCATTCAATAAGTTGCTTTTTAATTTTGCTGATGGTTTCCTTTACTGTGCAGAAGTTTTTTAGTCTGATGTATTCCCACTTTATTTTTGATTTTGTTGCTTTTGGTTTTGGTGCTAGATTTAAAAAACATCACCAAGGCCTAGGTTAAGGAGCTTACTGCCCATGTTTTTTTCTAAGAGTTTTATGGTTCCAGGTGTTATCTTCAATTTTTCAATCCATTTTGAGTTAATTTTTGTGTATGGGGTAAGATAGTGATCAAGTTTCATTCTTTTGCACGTGGCTGTCCACTTTTCACACCATTTAATGAAGAGACTGTCCTTTCCCTATTTTATGTTCTTGGCTCCTTTGTCATTAATTAATTGACCATATACATGGATTTATTTCTGGTTCTCTGTTCTGTTCCATTAATCTATGTACCTGGTTTCATACAAATATTATACTGTTTTGGTTACTATAGTATTGTAATATAGTTTGAAATTGAGGAGCATGATGCCTACAGCCTACAAAAATTCTCAAGATTTCTTTGGGTATTCAGGCTCTTCTTTGGATAAATTTTTTGATTGTTTGTTCTATTTTTATGAAAAATACCATTGGAATTTTGATAGGGATTGCATTGGATCTATAGATTGCTTTGGGTAGTGTGGACATTTTAACAATATTAATTCTTCTGATCCATGAGCATGGACTATCCTTTCATTTATTTGTATCTTCTTTAATTTCTTTCATTAATCTCTTGTAGTTTTCAGCAAATAGGTCTTTCCTCTTCTTAGTTAAATTTATTCTCAAGTATTTTATTCTTTTCAATGCAATTGTAAATCAGATTGTTTTCTTAATTTCTGTTTCTGATAGTTTGCTATTAATATATAGAAACATAACAAATTTTTGTATATGATTTTGTATCCCATGACTTTGCTGAATTCTTTTTATTAGTTCTAACAGTTTTTTGGTGGAGTCTTTAGAGTGTTCTGTATATGGCATGTCATCTGCAAACAGTGACAGTTTTATTTCTTCCCTTTCAATTTGGATGCCTTTTGCTTCTTTTTCTTGCTTAATTGCTCTGGCTAGAACTTGCAGTACTATGTTGAATGAAAGTTCTGAGAGTAGGCATCTTTGTCTTGTTCTTGATCTGAGAGGAAAAACTTTTAACTTTTTGCCATCGAGTCTAATGTTAGCTATGGGCTTATTATATATGACCTTTACTATAATAAGATATATTACCTCTGTATCCACTTTGTTGAAAATTTTTATCATAAATGAATGTTGAATTTTGTTCAAATGCTTTTACTGAATCTCTTGAGATCATTAAATAATTTATATCCTTCATTTTGTAATTTAGTGTGTCCAAATTGACTACTTTGCACATGTTGAACCATCCTTGCATAAATGGAATAAATCCCAATCCTATTTTAATATTGTGTGATCCTTTTAATGTATTGTTGAACTTGGTTTGCTAGTATTTTGTTCAAGATTTTTGCATCTATGTTCATCAGGGATATGCATGCTCAGTTGTGTCTGATTCTTTGTGACCACATGGACTGTAGCCCACCAGGTTTCTCTGTCTGTGATTATCCTGGCAAGAACACTGGAATGGGTTGGCGTTTCCTCCTCTAGGGGATCTTCCCAACCCAGGGATCGAACCTGTGTCTCCTGCATTGCAGGCAGATTCTTCACCACCCAGTCACCTGGGAAGCCATCAGGGGTATTGGCCTGTAATTTTCTTTTCTTATGACATCCTTGTCTGGTTTTGGTATCAGGATAATGCCAGCCTTGTTAAATGAATTTGGAAGTGTTACCTCTTGTATTGTTTAGAAAAGTTTGGGAAGTGTTGGTATTAATTCTTCTTTGAATGCTTCATAGAATTCACCAGTGAAACTGTCTGGTTTTTTATTTTGGGAGGTTTTTGATTTTTGATTCAATTTCACTGCTAAATTTGCTATATTTTTTTCATGATTGAGTCTTGGTACATTGTATGCTTCTAGAAATTTATCCATTTCTTCTAGGTTGTCAAACTTGTTGGTGTATAATTGTTCATGAGTCTCTTTTT